CCCTTAAAACTTGGGGGGGGGGGCATGTCTACAGCCTTCTAAAGGCCCCTACAGCACAGGTTCAGTATGGTGCATTCTTATGGGGCTGGTGGACTATGCTTAGCTTTGGCGATGATCACAGAGGAATAGCTGAAATGCAAACTAATTTATCGCTCACTCACAACTTTCATGCCAGTAGCTCACAGAGTAGAATTTTTGCTCACAGGACTCCACAGCTTAGAGGGAGCTTTGCTTCAGTGGGGCACATCCTCCAAACCATCCATTTTCTCCAGGGGAAACTGATCTCTGTAGTCTGGAGATGAGCTGTAATCCCAGGGGATCCCCAGGCCCCACCTGGAGGCTGGCATCCCTAGGACCAATGACCAAGCTACTTTCTGTTTGGCTTGGCGAAAGCTTTTCCTGTTAGCTTTGCTTCTCTCCCTCAAAGCACCAAGGGCCCCCTGGGCGACACTTAAGGTTGCTGACTCTTGGAAATCCCAGATATGAGCTAGGGGACTGGCCCCACCCACTGGCGGAGTCCAGCTCTGGACCCACCCATCTGGAGCAAGGGGTGGAGCTCGTTGTAGACAAGGGGAGAATCCCCTGTGCCCAGGACAGAGCTTGAGGGTGAAAAGGCAGAGCGACAGAGTCAAAGGGCAGAGCAAATGCAAAATAATGACAGGGTAATCCTAAACGAGCACCCTGAGCTCTGGACTTGGTGTAAATCTAGGTAGGGTTGGCTCTGTAATTCATCTAAGGTGCACAGCTGCCTGTCTCTCTCTCCCCACTCTCTCTCTCTTCCCGTGCGCTCTCTCTTCCTCTCTCTCTCATCCTCTGCGGTGGGGGGGGGGAGCAGAAAAGAGAACTCATTCAGAAGCTTTCCACCAGTTTGTCGCTCTTCTACCAAGAACTTTATGCAAGTTCTCCCTGAAATTCAACTGTTCTCTGTCCACTTTTTAGGAATCTGGAGTCTGTTTTGATCAGAGATAAGTCTGAATAGGAAGAGAGGGTCTGCAGAAATTCAGATTTTCACTCCATAGAGGCTAAGAGCCAGGCAGTGTCTTCCCAAACCTTCTTATCTTCCCGCTAAAGTTTGTCGCTCTACTACCAAAGGAAGAGCAACTTAAACTGGAGGGAGGGTTCAGTCTTTGCTGATTGGAGTGTTCCGGGCAAATGGCTGCATAAGCAAAGTGCTTTGAAAGCACTGTTTTAAATGCTGATCATTATTGTCATTCTCAGTCCCTTCATTTTTTTGCTTGTGCTCTCGGGCACACGTCCCTGATCTCTTCCTCTCTGTGTGATCTTCCTGATCTCCTTCCTTTCTCCACATAGCGCCAGCGAAGCCCCGGCAAACGACACACCGCTTGCTGTGCCCCCCCAAGAACCAAACCCTGTCGAATCCAACTTGGAGTCATTCAAAGGCAAGGAGGCCAGCCCAGCAGAGCAAAGTGGTGGCAGCCCGGACACGAGCGAGCAGGCCCTCCTGGGCGACCTGCCAGCGGACACGTGCCGGACTATCAGCAGGAGCGAACCCGACCTCTCGTCCATCACCACCAACACGGAGAAGGTCGCGGAGAGCACCACCATCATGATTGACGTCCAAGACTCTGCTGTGGTACAGAGTGAGGACCTCTCTCTCTTCTCCTGTTTGCCTGACCGTGAAATCTTAGTATGTGGCAAGGTCTAGAGATGGGCTGTACCTGTTGGTGGGAGAACCTAAAGCTCTTATCAGTGTTGTCTCGTTCAGGAGGCTCAAAGCAGAAACGAGGAGGTGCCCCTTTGGCTACTTCGTCACTGGTACTTGGTACCCACTCGTGTCGGCTTTCTTTGACCTCTGTCTCCTGTCACCCTTGCTGGGATGTGGAGGAAGGTGTTTCCTAAGGGTAGCGCACTCAGGCACGGGCACTCTTTGGTGTCGCTGTGAGGAGTGGCGGACTCTAATCTGGAGAACCGGGTTTGACTCCCCCCCTCCTCCTCCTCCACAGGCAGTCGGCTGGGCAGGGTTGCCAGGCCTTATCTGGCTGTGGGCGGGTGGGGGGTCAGTCTTCGTCTGGGGACCTGGGAGTCTTCACCCGGAGGTGACATCATAGCGCCGGGCATACTGGGTGGGATGCTCTAGCATTTGGCCAATAGCACCGGGCATACTAAGAACATAAGAGACGCCAATGTTGGATCAGGCCAAAGGCCCATCCAGTCCAACACTCTGTGTCACACAGTGGCCAGAAATACCAGTGCCATCAGGAGGTCCACCAGTGGGGCCAGGACATTAGAAGCACCCCCACTGTTGACCCCCCCCCGAGCACCAAAGACAGAGCATCACTTGCCCCAGAGCCCCTATCTATACCTTGTGGCTAATAGCCACTGATGGACCTCTGCTCCATATTTATTTATTTATTTCCTTCGGCTTCTATCCCGCTCACCCCCTAGGGGCTCTGAGCGGCTTACAATTCTGATTTGAACCAATCTAATCTAGGGCCACATATGTAGGGAAGGTGAGAAGCCTACCAGGCACCCTTATCCTGTTGTAGCAGATCTGCTTATCTAATTCCCTCTTGAAGCCGTCCATGCTTGTAGCCGCCACCACGTCCTGTGGCAGTGAATTCCAAGTGTTAATCACTCTTTGGGTGGGATGCTCTAGCATTTGGGCAAAAAACTCCATGGTCACACCATAGACTTTCTGCCCAAATGCTAGAGCATCCTCCATGCAACATGCCTGATGTGATAAAGTCAACTCTGGGTGATGTCATCATGCCAGATATGCTTGGCAGGATGGGGCTCTTCGCCGGTGCGGTTGCCCTCACCGGTCAGTTGGCCAGCGGCAGATTGGAAGCCCCAAAATTGGGGATACCCCACTCCCATTGGGGGAATCTTGGGCCAGTCAGAAGTTCTCTCAGAGCAGTTCTCTCAAGGGCGGTCCTCGAAAGAGCTCTCTCAGCCCCACCCACCTCAGAGGGCGTCTGTTGTAGGAAGGGGAAGGGAAGGAGATTGGAAGCCGCTCCGAGACTCTGAGTGAAGGGTGGGGTATAAATCCAATCTCCTTCTTCCTCTTCCTCCTTGGCTTGCTAATCGATAGAGGACTGTGTGAATCCAACGTCTTTGAAAAGCAGTGTGGTTCGAAAGGAAGAGGAGGGGACGTGAAAGTTCTTTTGGTGGCGCTGTATCTGGAATAGCCCAATTCACCCATGCAAGCCATTGAGTAATAAACCACCGTGCATGCATGCCGCTTTTGGTTCTCATTCCCAGGAGCATCCAAATTATGGGCAGTGCGTGAGAAGCCTCAGCCTGACTCGTATGGGAGACGGGGGTGAAGAGTGCCGGCTCTCTGTCCAGCAGCTGGGGCTTCCAACTCCCAGTTGGGAAATGCTTGATGATTTGGGGGTGGAGTTTGGGGAGGGGCGGGAACCTCAGCAGGGGTCTAGTGCCGTGGAGCTCACCTTCCAAGGCAGCCCTTCCCTCTGGAGGAGCTGGTCTCTGTCGTCTGGAGGCCAGTTGTCATCCCCGAAGGCTGGCGTGCCTACAAGCAACATAGTAAGGGGGGTGGCGGCACATTGTGCAGCGTGGACTGGCATGAAAAAAAAGACTATCCTTCCCCCCCAAAAAAATACTTTCTTAAAACAAACACTGCTTTTAGCCTTTCCCCCCTCTTTGGTGGGACTCTATGACTGGACATAACCCCCGGAGGAAAATTGTTGTAAAATAGTCAAAAATTGTTTAATACTTAGACTATTAAAAGGATCTTGCTCTATTGGAAAGAAGAGATTTCTTTGCTTTAAAAAAAACTTTATTCTAAGGGTAAAGGGTTCACGGGATTACTACAAATTAACATAACACTAAGGGCTACATTTCTATGCTGCGTACAGACAAAACAAGCACACACGTAATGGAGATTCTCTCCTTCTTCTTGACCCTAGAAAGGAAGTCACCTGAAACAAATGACCAATCTGTGTCATAGTAGAAGCTACTTTTCCCGGGCTAATTCCCCATTGGCTTAGTGCCAGGTATCCCTTCCAGGTCAGTCTAAACAATAGCAAACTAGGAATACAAGTTAACCCTATAATGACTGAATCATCAGACCTTGTAAACACATACATTTCCAACACCCCTTCTCAAGGTCTGACATGTAAGTCATACATACAAAAACATTATTCATTATTCACTTCAACATTTGTACCAATCATATTCAACATTTTACGTAGACGTTCAAATTTCTCTTTGGTCAGTGGCTTAGTCAGAATATCAGCCACCATTTCTTCTGTACGACAATGCTCAATATCTATCAGCTTCTTCTGGTACAAATCCTTCACTAAAGCACACTTAATACCAATTGATCTACTTCTAGCTGTGGTGCTTTCTTCCTTACATATGGTAATACAAGCCTGATTATCTTCAAACATAAGTACAGGTACAGGTTCTCTTATTCCAAAGTCCTTTAACATATGAAAAATCCATTCAAGTCTACTACAGGCACTTGCTGCTGAAACACACTCCGCTTCCGCTGTAGACTGTGCCACAACAGTTTGTTTTCTACTAGTCCAGTCTATTAGTCCATCTCCGTAGAAAAATAGATATCCACTTGTAGACTTGTAGTTGTCCGATTCTTCTCCCCAGTTGGCGTCCATGTATACGACTAGTCTGGGCCCTTCAGACGGTGCAATTTTCAGTTGTAAGTCCATTGTTCCTTTCAGGTACCGCGCCAGTTTCTTTATCGCACTCCAATCATGATGATTTGGCGAACTCACTTTTCTGCATAAGATGCCAACTGCTGCTGTGAAATCTGGTCTCGTGGTTTTGCTGAGGTAGAGAAGTTTCCCAACTGCTTCTCTGTATTCTCCAATGTCTCTGAGTGGTTGTCCATTCTTTTCCTTCAGATATCCAGGTTCCATTGGTATGGATGATGTTTTACAGTCCTTCATGCCAATAGATTCTACAAAGTCCATAATCTTTCGTTTCTGGCATAGAAGAAAAGTCCCATCCTCGAGTCTCTCAATTTGCATTCCGAGGTACTGTTGTACATCTCCTAGCTGTTTGACTTCCACGTCCTTATTCAGTCCATCAGCTATGTCTTTGATGTCCTTTCTGTTTTGACAGGCCACGATCAGGTCGTCAACGTAAACAAGAACATACTGGTATTGTCCATTTTTAATTCTAGTGTACAGACAAGGTTCAGCTTTCCCTTGTTCAAAACCTTGCTTCTGTAGCAGTCCAGTAATTTTGTCATACCAGGCCTTTGCTCCTTGCTTTAGCCCATAGAGTCCTTTGTTGAGTCTGTAGACATAATCCTCTTGTCCTTTGACTTTAAAACCCCATTGCCCCTGGGGAGGAGCAGGGAGACATTTTTAGCGGAACAAATGTGGAGGCAAAGGGTTTTTTTTAAAAAAAAATCCCCTTCCCCCTGCACAGTTGTCCTAACCCGACAGACAGCCTCCTGCAGCTGCTTTTACTTCTAGAATGAGTCCCCGGAGAGATCCAGTGCAGACGTTTGTGTATCTCATCTGATTTGGCTTTCAGAGGTCGTGACTGCTGGACTAGGGATGCCAACCTGCCGGTGCCACCTGGAGTTCTATCACTATGCGTTGACCTCCAGATGATCAAGATCAGTTCTTTGGGAGAACATGATCGCTTCGGAAGGTGGACTCTGTGGCCTTAGGCCCTTACATGGCCCCTCCCCTCCCCAAGCCCTGCCCTCCTGAGGCTCCGCCCCCCAATTCTCCAGGCACTTCCCAACCCTCAGCTGGCAACCGTATTCTGAGCACAGGTGACTCATCAGTCCCGTAAAGCTGTTCTTATGCATTCAGACCTACTTGCTTTCTCCCATTAGTCATTTTCCGAAGACCTGGGAAAGTGTTTTTCTTCTGCTTCAAGGTGAAACATGTTAAATATGGATATTAATTAAGCAGCACCACTGAAAATGCCTTGTTAAAGCCTCCTTTTGTCTCTTGGCTTGACAGCTCCTCTGTCTCTCTCTTTCCTTTTCATCTCTTCCTAATCACTTCCTAACAAATGGCAGAACCAGGAGGTGAGAATGTAAAACAGCCATTGCTGCTCTCCCCCCCCCCCCAGCAGTCAGCTCATTGGTGTTGGGCAGGGGTCATTTCGTAGAAAAAGAGGTGCACGGGCTCATTAGCATAACTCATTAGCATAACCTATTTGCATATGCCACACCCCCTGACATCACAGGAAGTGTGTCAGAATGCAACACCCACCGCTCAGGCTCCACTGGACTTTTTTGGATTGCTAGCTGTTGGGGGGGGGGGACATGCAGATATGTTCTCGCAGAGGAGGGAGAGCTTGTACCTGAAGGGGGGGGGCTCTGCAACTTACCTGGCTGCTTCTTCTTGCTGCTCCTGGCCCAACTGAGGGCTGCTGGGAGCAGTGGGTGGGGCTTGTTGCATGTGCCCGCCCCCTGGGCTCCTTACTGCCGGAGCTCCGCTCCTGTGCGCTCCCACAGGAAATGACCCCTGGTGTTGGGTTTGCATTGCCTCTGCCGTGTTAGACAGATCTGTGTTTAGGCTGCTGTGTTCTGGGAGGGCCGGACACAGAATCCAGCTGTCTGCGAATGTCAGCTTTCAGCTTCCAAAAATGCTGTATGTGTTTAGAGGATGAATACAGAAAACCATTGATCACTTTTCCCATCCGCTGGGTGTCTGTATTGCCCTGGCGAGTGAAATGTTTCTACACTTCTCTACTGGGTCAGAAATCTAGGGGCCCAGGGAAGCAGGTAAGATCCTGCTCCTAATGCAGGACTAGACAGACCACCGGCTGGCTGGGTTGTTTGATGCCTGTGAGAGAATTCAACCAAAGGGCTGTGCCTAGTCAAGTCGTGGAAACCGGATGCCCTGCTGAATAAGGCTTCCTTTGGTTAGGAGGCAGCATTTCAACAGCATGGTTTGCCATTCTTCCCCGGACCCTGAATAAACTACGCCAGTCACATACTGCAGGATTCATCTTTTCTTCATGCAGAAATTGCAGAGCCTGAGTTCAGCATGGTCATGGTTTTATTTATTTTTTCCCCATAGCATCAGCACAGCCATGTGTTAGCTGGACCTGGCTGCTTGCAAGTAGAGGGGAGGCTGTCTTAAGACAGAGTCCACATGAGGCTTGTTGCTTTTAAGAAAGGAAAGGATATTTTTCATTGATAAAGAAATCCATCGTGCGATAGTAGGAAAGGCGAGACAGGCATTTGGAACGGCTGTCTCACAAAGGGCCAAAACGCACAATACGTGTGACACAGGTTGGATCGCAGGTGCCTGACCCGACTTGTAGTCACAAGTATAATTGGGGGAACTTTAGGTTTACAAGATTATGCATGGGAAAGAGCAGGTAGAGAAAGAGGTACTTTTCTCCCTTTCTCACAATACAAGAACTCGTGGGCACTCAATGAAACTGCAGAGCGGTCGGGTTAGAATGGATAAAAGGAAGTCCTTCACCCAAAGAATGATTAACACTTGGAATTCACTGCTACAGGAAGTGGTGGCGGCTACAAGCATGGACGGCTTCAAAAGGGAATTAGATAGGCATATGGAGCAGAGGTCCATCAGTGGCTATTAGCCACAAGGTATAGATAGGGGCTCTGGGGCAAGTGATGCTCTGTCATCTTGGTGCTTGGGGGGGTCAACAGTGGGAGGGCTTCTAATGTCCTGGCCCCACTGGTGGACCTCCTGATGGCACCTGGTATTTCTGGCCACTGTGTGACACAAAGTGTTGGACTGGATGGGCCTTTGGCCTGATCCAACATTGGCGTCTCTTATGTTCTTATGTTCTTATGAACTCACCTTCAAAGCCTTTAGTTGCTCCACCCCTACCCCTAGCACTGTGGGGGGTGAGAGAGAGAGAGCCCTTTTTGCCCCCTTGGGGGTCAGAGAGAGGGACGAGAGAAGGAGCGACTGGAAGGGAGGAACGTCCAGAGATTAGCAGTCTAGGTGACAAAGGGGCAGCAGCGGAACAGACAAGAGGAAAGCAGAGAGAAGGATTCGATGCGCCCGCCTTACTGGTCCTACTGCCTACAGTACTGGGGTGCTTGCTGTGAAGAGACGCTTGCCGCATTGCCCTTCACTCCCAGTGCCGTGATATTAGGCTTTGCAGCTGTTCAGAATATAACATTTGCTGTCGGTTTTTAAGAAGGCTGCAATTAGGGGTGTGACTGCGTATTAAGGAAGAGGAAACTTCAGTCCCCTGCCATGGCTGTGCAGTTCTCCCATAATGACTTCAGGCATGAGGCTTTATTGGGCAGCTGAAGACAGGATTAACCCGTTCTTTTCCATTGTCCTTCAGCCTCATAGGTAGGCATAGTGTCAGCAGTATAAGACAGTGGCCTTGAATTGCCATGTTTACCCATCACAGCTGGCCCCATCCACAACATTGTGCTGCTTTATTCCTACTGGTATGTCCAAAATCAAACTGGAAACTAAGGAGTGTGTATTATTCTAATATTTTTCTCTACTGTTTCCCACACGCTTCCTCCAGAACCTCAAAGACGTCTCTCTTGGTTGTAGCCTAGTCAGTTGACATGGGTATCAGCACCTACTCTAGGGCACTAGATGTCCCTTATTGGATGCAGAGTTTGGTGTCGTGGTGAAGTGCGCGGACTCTAATCTGGGAGAACCAGGTTTGATTCCCCACTCCTCCACATGCAGTTGCTGGGTGACCTTGGGTGAGCTGCAGTTCTCTCTGAGCAGTTCTCTCAAGAGCAGTCCTTGAGAGAGCTCTCTCAGCCCCACCTACCTCACAGGGTGTCTGTTGTGGGGAGAGGAAGGGAAGGAGATTGTAAGCCGCTCTGAGACTTACGGGGCAGGGTATAAATCCAATCTCTTCCTCTTCTCTTCTTCATAAAGTTGTTTGGGTGCCACCAACCTTAGGCAAGTCATTCTGTGCCTGCATTGGACTTCGGTGCTGCTTGTGTGTTTTTTTGTGTATTCTTTGCTATCTGGAACAGAAACAAGACTTGTTTGTTTTACAGTTAGCAACAAGACCGATGGAGAGGCCAGCCCTTTGAAGGAGTCCGAGACCAAGGAAGAGGAAGGGGAGGAGACAGAGAAGAAGAAAAAGCGGAAGAAGGAGAAGAGCAAGACGGGCAAGCCGATGGTTCCGCACAGCTCTATGTTCATTTTCAGCACCACAAACCCGTGAGAGTTCTCATTGCGTTTTTTGAAGCTTGAATTGCTTAAGACAGTGGCTTCCAAACTGTGTTTTGGAGAAGGATGGAGGTCCTTGAAAGCACAGGGGGTTGCTAACTGAGAAGGGTGAGTGAGCTTGTCACAAAACGGCCCTGTCGCTGCCAGCCTCCCTCTGAAATGGGCAACTAGGATCCCCGCTCCTTAAAACTAAAAAGTTTGAAGACCGCTTGCTTGGTATTATAGCTGAAGCTGCCATTAGGTAAAGCAAATGCACAGGATGATCATCAGGTTTGAATTTAAGTAGAAACCTTGTGGCACCTGGAACAAGTTTTCATTCTGGCATAAGCCTTCATGGATGAGAGCCCCCGTTGTCAAATGCATGCAGTGGGTCCTCATCTGATATTCAAAGTTGCGGGGGAGGGGGGATGAACAGGAGGGTCAAAGAGCCATATAACTCAGAATTAACCGGGTGAGTTGTAATTATGGAAAATTGAAATGCAATCAAGAAAAATCTAACGATTGTTCACAATAGCAGTGGGGCTGGCAGTCTCCCATCCCACGTTGTCCCTCCTAGTTGATAAGTCTGGGGAGGGGAATGGGAACAAGGAGCTGGTTCTTTGATGGGATGGGAGTTCTTGGGTGGCCACCTGGATCTTCAGTGTCAATGATCATAATTTTAAGGGAGAACCCTAATTTGTTTTTAAAGGCGTGTACTTCTACACACCTGACATTTCCCCAGGTTTGCAGAACTTAAAATTGTACTCGTGGTTGGCATTGGTGTCTAGATTTTTTGATCCACACAGGGGCCAGTTCTTGACTGTAAAGGCAGTGAAGATTACAGTTCAAAATAGTGGATACTGCTGCAAGAAACCTTGGTTGCTTCTTAGTTCTCCTAAGTGATAGACAAATTTTAGGCTGAATGCTCAGTATCAGTACAGAGTAAAATTATGATAATTTTCAAAATTCATAAAAGTCATGCCTTTCAAACTCTATCGGCCAACATTTAGAGAGGAATCTGAGGAGCTTCTGGCTAACATTGCCATCTTGTGGTTGAAGAGGAAACTGCATCTTCCTTTGAAGATGGCAGCAATTATTTTTCCAAGGCAATGTCCGTCTTTTCTGTTCTGCTATAAAAGTTTTCTTCTGTAGAGCTTGCTGGGGCTTGTATCCAGATCAGCTTACTGCTTCCTCTTCTGGTGGCTGGTTTTTTTCTAGTTTTTAGCCAAATTAATTGTACATACACCGTTTGACCCTAAGGAAACAGTTACAAAAATGAAGGACAGGAACAAAGTGTTGAAATATAATGTAGATTCTCTACAGGTTCAGCTAGTAATCTTGTGGTTAGGTCTATGCAGGTCACAGTTAGTAGACCCTTCAAAAAAAAAGTTAGTAGACCCTTCAGTTAAGAACAGGGAGAATGTAGCCATGTCTCTTAAAAAGGCAGTTTATGCAGAGTGAAGTGGTTGGATTGGCGTTAGATTAATTTTGCATAAGAGCAGCATTAGTACATTATGTATTCATTAAATTAGATTTTTAAATCTCCCTCCTCGATGGAATAGGGCTCAGGGCAGTGTGCATCAGTAAAAAACAGCTCCACATAGATTCACAATTCAAACAACAGAATTCATAATTCACGTTAATATAACAGTACAAGCCTATAACCAATAAGATGGTGATCGGACTGCCAAAACATGTTACTGCCTCGTGGGCAGGAAAAACAGGAGTGCCAGCCAGGTGGAAAGCCATCGCTGTCCTCAACCAAACGCCTGGCAGAACATCTCTGCCTGACATGCCCTGCTAAAGGTACAAACGAAAGAGACATTTACTTACTTACTTACTTACTTATTTCATTTATAATCCACCTTTCTCCCAAATGGGGACCCAAAGTTGTTCCCAATGGGAAACCCTCCTGAACTAACTTTTTGGAGTTCTCCAGAACTGTTAACAGGGGTAGATAAGGTAAAAGTGGTATATTTGTGAAGCTTTTGACATTTTTTTTTTTTGAGCCAGCATAGTATAGTGGTTACAGTGTTGTCCTACGGACTGGGAATTTGAACCCTCGCTCTGCCTTGGAAGCTTGGAGGGTGACCTTAGTCATTCAGTCTCAGCCTAACCTACCTTACAGGGTGGTTGTTGTGAGGCTAAAACAGAGGAAGGCAGCTCTATGTTGTAAGTTTAAAACAAATCCCTCTCAAAAGTCTCCTGAATAAGCTCAACATCATGGGATTAAAAACTGAGGTTTTTTACAATTTTTGGTGAGTAATTTGTGTGTGTGTGTGTATGCTGGGAACCCTTAGTGGGGCTTGGACATTTTAGAGAAGTGGCCTTGCTATTGCCTGCTTCTGCATCCCGGCCCTGATATTCCTTGGAGGTCTCCCATCCAAGTACTTGCCAGGGTCGGCCCTGGTGAGCTTCTGAGGTCTGACAAGATCGATCTTATCTGAGCTATCCAGGTCAAAGCTGGATTAGAAACTGTTTGATGATAGGAACCAGAGGAGTAGCTTTGGGGTTCTCACTCTTGCTGAGTGAGTGAGCCTTTTTCACCAAGCTGTCTACCACAACCCCAAGATCTCGTTCGTGATCAGTCCCTGCCAGTTCAGACTCCAGTGGCATATATGGAAAGTTGATGCTTTGCCGAAGTCACTGTACACAAAGTATTTGATGTTCAGTTGCCTGGTGGTTGCTCACTTACACAATTTGGAGATAACTTCTTGGAGCTATTTCTCAATCCACTTTGTTTTCCACTATACAAAATAATTTGGCGTCATGCACAAGAGTGATTGTTTTGCCACTAATCCCCATTTCCAGATCCTTTATGAACACGTTAAAACAACACCAATCCACAAATCCTTGGAGAATGGTACAAAATAAAATGGCCAGTATATCATAATGCCCATAGATAGATAGATAGATAGATAGATAGATAGATAGATAGATAGATAGATAGATAGATAGATAGATAGATAGATAGATAGATAGATAGATAGATAGATAGATAGTTTGGCTGCATTTGGAATATTGTATACAGTTCTGGTTGCCTCATCTTAAAAAAAATGTCTGGAAAATGTGCAGAAAGGCTGTGTACCAAGAATGGTTAAAAGACGGGTGTTTTTTGAGTTCAGAGAAAGATGACTAAGAGGGGGCATGACAGAAGTTTAGAAATTGTACAAGGGATAGAGGAATTGTAGAGAACTGAATGAAAATGATGGGCTGTAGTTTCAGGAAAGAAATGCTTCTTCGTGTAATTAACCTGTAGAACTCACTGCCTTGGGAGGGGGTAGCGGTCACTTTAAAGGGGGATCAGAAGATAGACCATCAATGGCTGTTGGCTGAGTGGGACCCTCATGTTGGGAGGCAGTATAGGTTTCAAGTCTGGTGCCAGTTGGGTGTGGTGGTCAGCAGGAGCGCGGACTCTAAAACCCCACTCCCCATGTGCAGCTGCTCGTGTGACCTTGGGTCAGTCACAAGTTCTCTCAGAGCTGTTGTCTCACTAGCAGTCCTTGAAAGAGCTCTCTCAGCCCCACCTGCCTCACAGTTGTGGGGAAGAGAAGGGAAAGGAGATTGTGAGCTGCTCTGAGACTCCTTTGGGTAGTGAAGGGCGGGGTATAAATCCAGTCTCTTTTCTTCTTCGACTCCAGTCACTGGGAGGCAGCAGCAGGGGGAGACTTTGGCCTCCGTGTCTCTGCTTGTTTGCCTTCCTGGGATACCTGGCTGGCCACTGTGGAAAGCAGGATGATAGACTAGATGAGCCACTGGTCTGATCCAGCAGGCCCTTCATACAGTCTTATGAGTCCTGCGTTATGACTTCTACACGCTGGCAGCATTTTAAACGAGCAGAATTGCGTGCAACCAGTGCAATAGTCAGCCCTTGCAGGAACGCTCTTCTGTTGTTTCCCAAACAGGATCCGGCGAGCCTGCCATTACATTGTCAACCTGCGGTACTTTGAGATGTGCATTCTTCTGGTGATCGCGGCAAGTAGCATCGCCTTGGCAGCAGAGGATCCGGTCCTGACCAACTCGGAGAGGAATAAAGTGATTACTTGATTTCTTGACAATTCTACCATAGGTCCCGGAGGTGGGGGTGGCGGTTAACAGTGGGAATGCACTTCAGTTGCCCCATAGTTCAGCACAGAGGTGGGCTACCCACTTAGGAGAACCATATGGTGCAGCTCTTGCTGGGTTGTAGCATTTCAGACTTCTTGGAGGTTCACATGCTGGAATGCTTCTGGTTTGTTTCCCCCGGGGCTCTGCTTAGTGGCCCTGGGACTTTCTCACCAGAATGTCTCCATAAGCATCGGTCCATGAGCCCATTGTGAATTCACCTTAAGGTATTGTGAATCCACCTTAAGGTATGGTTAAAACTTAGCCTGGACTCTATTGGAGTGGATTTGCTCCACTCTCAATGGAGAACTAACCTCTTTGACCACAAAACTGGTGGGAAGTTGACAGTGTCAGGAAATAATTTTATAATGGTCAATTAAAAACATAGAGCTGACAACGGACACCACGGATAATTCTCAGAACCCAGATCCTGTGTCACTGAGGAGTGGGTGGGCCCAGGCAACTGATGCCATGTGTCCAACAAGATCAGGGTCTCTAGTTGTTCCAGTCCAGTCACCTTTATTGGCATGTAACCCTTGCAAACCCATATACAAAAAAAACCACCAACAACCACCACAGCATAGAATAATATCTGCAAAATACAGAAATAAGGAATTACCAAGTAAGTATACCCATCAATTAAATAAAGGGTGAATAGAAATGGCACCAAAAAGAAATTTAGCAACAGTTTCCGTTATTTCAAAGTTTGGATTATCAAGAAGAATAAGGATCCTTAGGCAATCAGGATATTCTTCTAGTTGAGCCAAAGTAAAATTTAGGCATTTCAGTCGTAGCGCATGGTAGAAGGGGCACTGAAACAGGACATGGGAAATCATTTCGATATTATCATGGGCAACATCTGTCAGAAAAGGGCACACCCTGAAAGCGGCCAGTCTCTAGTTGTTTAGACGGGCATGCAAGTCTTTATAGCAACCAGGGAGTATCCACACAGTGGTCTATCAGTGCAGGAAGCTCTTCCTTGGATGGTCCAGTCCCCCCTCCCTGGGGTGGCTGCGTTTGCGTGGCGAGTCCCGGCTGACATCCTCCAGGTCACTGGCCTAAGAATCCATGGTTGGCTCCCAGTCCCGACCCTCGAAGTGCAATCCTAAACAGAGGTACAATCTATTCACTCCAGTGAATTTAGAAGGTTGTAACTCTGCTTAGGAATTAACTGTCAGGGGAAGATGAAAACGTGGCAAAGAAAGAATCATTAACTAAAAAAAGAACTTATCGTAAGGAACAGAACAGAGTCGGGAGTCGGGACAAACAAAGCAGTCAGCTGGGGGAAACTGAGCGCGGAGATGTGTAGGGGGGGGGACCAGGCGTCTCCTTTGTACTTCCTGCACTGCAGGACTGAAGAATCTCTGCTGCCTTATTTTAAAACATTGAAAAATAGCATCTGCACTGCTGTGACTGTTAATGCTTGGTCTCGATTTCCTATCCCTAATTCAGTGTTCTATACATTTTTTCCCCTGATCCCCAAGGTAGTAATTAGTGAACCGTTGTGAATAGCAAATCAGCTCGGAGGAGGACGGATACTGTTGGAAGTGGGGGGTTTATGCAAGAATCGGGAAGTCACAGCCGGGATGATTCCTAGCACAGAGTCCTCCAGGTCCTCTGCTCCTCGATGCGAGGGGAGCCAGGCTTTTTCCGAGCAGCACGCCTCAGTTTGATGACAAACGGGCCTAAAAGGAGCTGCGTGCTGCACGCGTGGGCTACGGTTTGGGTAGGGGTTCCAATTAGCACCTGTATAAGTAGCTCTGCAATGATAGCTGCAGGATGGTGTTGGGGGAGAAGCCCAGGCGTAGGTGGCATGAACTGATTTAAGGGACAAAGTTAAAGGGCAAATGGGAAGGGAACGGGCCGGATGCGGCACACCAACCACGGGTCTATCAGCATTGTCCGCTTCAACCGGCAGCAGCTCTCTACAATTTCAGGCGGAGGTATGCCTTATCACCCATTACCTGAAGACGCTGAGGATGAAAACTGGAACTTACTGCAGGCAAGGTAGCTGCTCTGCCACTGAGCCAGCTAGGCTGAGCTGTAACAAAAAGCACCAAAAGTCGACCAGCCCAGAGCTGCCCTTTAACCGCAGTTTGATATACGGCAGCTGTAATCATTGTGTGCTGTCGAGCGGCAACTGACTCGTGGCCCCTCCGGGACCCTGGCATTTCAAAGGCGAGAGATGAGCAGAGGCGGTTTCCCATGGCCTTCCTCTGCCCGGCAGGCCCAGTCTTCCTCGGTGGTTTCCTATCAAACAAGGCTCAGAAAGGCTGTTCACAATTTGATGTTTTGGAAGTGACTTGACGGCACTTAACAAAACACACACTCCCATTCAAGTACTGCCTGTGGCTGACCCTGCTTAGCTTGTAAGCTCTGGTGATATCAGGCTGCTCATGTGGCAGTCAGCATGTGGAAGCCGTTTCACTGACCTGGACAGCCCAGATCTCGGAAGCTAAGCAGGGTCGGCCTTGGCTAGTATTTGGAAGGGCAACCTCCAAGGAATACCAGGGGTGTGACGCGGAGGCAGGCAATGGCAAAACCACCCCTTGCCTTAAAAACAAGTCTAGCTTGCCACCTAGTGGGTCATAATGCTAAAGAGCTATAACCTCTGGCTGCCAGACAGTCTTAGGATCTCCTGGCTATATTACATACAATGCACGACAACAACAACTGTTTCTCTTCCATTCCAATAAAAGTTTCACTTGCTAATTTGGTGTAGTGGTTTGGTGTAGTGGTTAAGTGTGCGGACTCTAATCTGGGAGAACCGGGTTTGATTCCCCACTCCTCCACTTGCACCTGCTGGTGTGACCGTGGGTCAGTCACAAGCTCTGGCACAGTTGTCCTTGAAAAGAGCAGTTTGTGTCAGAGTTCTCTCAGCCCCACCTACCTCACAGGGTGTCTGTTGTGGGGAGGGGAAGGGAAAGGAGTTTGTAAGCCGCTCTGAGACACCTTTGGGTATTGAAGGGCAGGGTATAAATCCAACTTCTTCTTCTTTTACCTCGCAGGGTGTCTGTTGTGGGGAGGGGAAGGGAAAGGAGTTTGTAAGCCGCTCTGAGACTCCAAGTGAAGGGCGGGGTATAAATCCAATCTCTTCTTCTTCTAATTTCTATGTATCAAGCCTGTGTCGGCACAAGAGTAGGTCAGTGCATACATTCTGTGTCAGAACTAACTCTGAAGGCGGGAGGGGAATAGATATACAGGATTCAAAGTGAGGCCGCTGACGAAGTCGAGCCAATCAAAGAAGCAACTGGAACGCGCCTAAACTAAGGGGTTCATATTCCCAGTGAAACATCAGGAGAAAAGTACCAAGGTCAGTCACTCAGGCTATGAGATAAGACGCAGCACGGAGAAGTGAACGTTAAAATTCCAGCATAACAAGACACAGGACATCAGCCGCCTCTCCCCCCCCCCCCCCGCCAGAGGAGACAAGCAGCACAGCCGACACACAATCTAGTTTTTTAACGTTTTAAACCCCAGGGATTTCATGGGAAAGTTTAAGTTCATGTTTATATCTCCCCATTTTTTTTGAAGCCGTTTGAAATAAAATTGCGTATCTGTGGCTGAATTCTGCCCTTGGATTCCCCAGAATTTGCCAAACTAAATCAAAAGCTGCCAACTGATCTTTTTTTGGTGTGTTAGAATTTTTATAAGCCTCCTAAGGTACTTTATGGAAAGGCAACACATTAAAGGGGGATATTTTTATTCATGAGGAGGGAATTTTGAGATCAAAATGGCTGAACAGCACTTGAAAGAATGCAGTGATGTGGGAAAGAGGCCCTGCGCTGAACTGGGCCACTGACTGAATGGATTTGAAAGTATCCTGAGAAAGCACCGAAGTCGGTCACACATAAAACAACTGCTACTTCAAGATGTGAACGTGTTCCTCGGGAATATATATACCCTTCAGCCTTTGTTTCATCCTTCCAGGTCCTGAGGTATTTTGACTACGTTTTCACTGGCGTGTTCACCTTTGAGATGGTTATTAAGGTAAGAAATGAGGGAAGAGTATGTGCTGAAGCAGTCGAGGGATTCTGCATGCTGCTCGCTTAGTAAAATGGCAGCCATTCTTCCATGACATTTTCCTGTATGGATCCACTTTCTGGATTGCCCGCAAGGGATTTATTATCTTCAAAACTTAATCCCTTCCTCCTGCCCAATGTTTTAAATGTTTTAGACATTTTTACTTTGTATGTTTTTAGCTCAGGTTTTAATTGCTATAATGATGTGTCTTCTTGTTGTTTTTGTTGGTTATAATAGTGTTAAATGCTGGGGTCATTTCGTAGAAAAAGAGGTGCAGGAGCTCATTAGCATAACTCATTAGCATAACTTATTTGCATCTGCCACACCCCCTGACATCACCAGAAGCGTGTCAGAAGGCAACACCCACCGCTCAGGCTCCACTGGACTGTTTTGGATTGCTAGCTATTTGGGGGGGGGACGTGCAGATCTGTCTTCGCAGAGGAGGGAGAGCTTGTACCTGAATAAAACTTGGTCTTAAAGGTGCCACTGGACTGTTTTGGATTGCTAGCTATTGGGGGGGGGGACACGCAGGTCTGTCCTCACAGAGGAGGGAGAGCTTGTACCTGAATAACACTTGGTTTTAAAGGCGCCACGGGACTTTTTTTGGATTGCTAGCTATTGGGGGGGGGGAACGTGCAGATCTGTCCTCGCAGAGGAGGGAGAGCTTGTACCTGAATAAAACTTGGTCTTAAAGGTGCCACTGGACTGTTTTGGATTGGGGGGCCAGGGGGCAGGCTCTGCAATTTACCTGGCTGCTTCTTGTTCTGACTGAGGGCTGCTGGGAGCAGGGGGCGGGGCTTGTTGCATGTGCCCGCCCCCTGGGCTCTTTACTGCCGGAGCTCCGCTCCTGTGCGCTCCTGCAGGAAATAACCCCTGGTTAAATGTAATTTCATTATGTATGATTTAATTGATTCTGCCTCAGTGGTGCTTGAGAGGGCAGAAAGGCGAGATACACATTTTGTAAAAAATAAAATAAATAAAAATCCGTACAGCTATTCTAATTATGAAGAGGTGACCCATGTATTTTTATAAATATGCACATCCCATCTTATCTAAAATGCAACAGTGGTAGGGAGTTCTGCATTTCAACAAAAACAGGGTCAGTAAAGGGAACTAAACCCCACGCCTTCCTTTCCCTGGCTTTTCTTGCTGCGCCGCACATTGCTGTCTGTACCTTTCTTTCAGTCCTACTTATTTCTAGAAACAAAGATGGGACAATTTTGGGGGGAACAATTTTGAAAAGGACCAAAGGAGGGAGGCTGCAGGGTTTGGCTCCCTTCCCCCACTCTGTTTCTGGGTTGTTGTTTTTAAACCGCCCATCCTAATACATTCTTTAGAAGTAAACATACGAACACATATAAAAAAGTCATGGACCCTCCCCTCCCATCTCATTTGGCTGGCAGGGAAAGATGGCTTCAGTAAATGGAAAAGGCATTTGTGGTCAGCACAGGTGAATGGACCTTCCTCGGCTGGAACCTCCTGCCCAAGTAACTTCACGAGTGCTTTGACGTGCTCCACTCTTCCCTACTAGGACTCATCCCTGCCCTTTCCTTCCTTATATAACCTTTTCCTTCCTTATCAGCAGACTCTTTGGGCCAAACTATGTGACACATTTTTGGCAAGTCAGGTCCAGGTTCGGAAGAATGGCACAGAGGCAGGCAGGAGCCCTTCTCCCCCCCCCCCCATGCTGCAGTTAACATAAGAGAACATAAGAGCTGCCAATGTTGGATCAGGCCAAAGGCCCATCCAGTCCAACACTTTGTGTCACACAGTGGCCAGAAATACCAGGTGCCATCAGGAGGTCCACCAGTGGGGCCAGGACATTAGAAGCCCTCCCACTGTTGACCCCCCCCCCAAGCACCAAGATGACAGAGCATCACTTGCCCCAGAGTCCCTATCTATACCTTGTGGCTCATAGCCACTGATGGACCTCTGCTCCATATGCTTATCCAATTCCCTTTTGAAGCCGTCCATGCTTGTAGCCGCCACCACTTCCTGTGGCAGTGAATTCCAAGTGTTAATCACTCTTTGGGTGAAGAAGTACTTCCTTTTATCCGTTCTTACCCGACCGCTCAGCAATTTCATTGAGTGCCCACGAGGTCTTGTATTGTGAGAAAGGGAGAAAAGTACCTCTTTCTCTACCTGCTCTATCCTATGCATAATCTTATAAACCTCAATCCTGTCACCCCTCAGTCGTCGTTTCTCCAAGCTAAAGAGCCCTAAGCGCCTTAACCTTTCCTCATAGGGAAAGTGTTCCAACCCTTTTATCAAGCTGAATTGGGCTCCCATTGATTTTGTAAAAAAATTCCCAGCATCTGCAGTGTGACTGTGGAAAAGTGGGAAAGTGAGCTGGGAGCCAGGATACAACTCACTGCAAATGTCGTTTTGCCCTTGGTCAGTGCAGCAGCGCATTTCTGCGTAGGCTCCCTGCCCTGCCTCTGCCTCTGCCTCTGCCTGTCGGGCTCACTCTGCAAGACCTTTCCTGGCATTCAGGCCCCATCCGCTCCATTTCTTGACTCCTCTCTCTGCACCTGCTCTTCCTCTCCATGTTATCTTCTGAGAACTGGGCTTCGCCCTGTTTTCCTACAGATGGTTTTACCTTGCCCTTCAGTTAGATACCAAAGCAAGTCCTGATGTGAGCATCTGGGATCCTACACTTCATGAAGGCACATGTGCCTATACAGTCCACTTGCGCACTCTGGGGTGCACCCATGAGAATGTGGGTAGATGTGATTCTTCCCCGTGCTCCTCCACCAAGCCCCCTTTGGACCTCAAAAAACACGGCTGCTGGAGGTTACAAGACTTCGTTCAACAAAAAGATGGGCGGCTTCACGGAGGATGGGAAGCAGGTTGGGACCGCTCGTGCCTCAGTGGTATCTCTGCTGTTGGAAAAGGAAGGGGGGAGCTTTTGTGCCTGGTGTGTCATTTCCCCCCCCCCTCACTGCAGGTTCCCCGTACCACAGGGCGTCAGAGTTTCGAAGGTCTCACAGAGTTGGTGGGCAGGCAAGGACAGCATCCTATGTGTGTCCTCCGTAGGACCCAAGCCATAGAGCCTTCCCTGGTTACTTGTCAGTAGAAGAACATAAAAGATAAGCAGAGCCCTGCTGGATCAGGCCAAAGGCCCCTTAAGGTCAGCACTCTGTTCACACAGTGGCTGACCAGCTGCCTCTAGGAAGCCCACAGGCAGGACGGCTGCAAGAACTTCCTCCTGCCTGTGCTGCCCCACAACTGATTTAAAGGGGCATACTGCCAGGGGCATAGCCAGAAAATTCTGGTTAGTGGGGCGTGGGGAAATCCAGGGGGGCACCACGGCAGCACCTGCTCCTCCTCTTGCAGCAGCAGAAGCAGCAGCTCCGGCTCCGCTGCGACCTCTAGTCCTCCTCTCGACCTTTTGATAGGAGAGACTCAAATCCAGGCTGCTTTTCTGTGTAAGTCTCCGACTCTCTCTCTCTCTTGCATTTTGCAATTTTATTTTATTTTATTTGCATTTTTAAAAGCCTATTTCTTTTTCAGCCTGGAAAAAAAGAAAATGAGACTGAAGCTTCCCTGACTGTGCCTGGGGTCCTTTTGGAAACCCCATACGCATCTTACATTTAATTTTTTTTAAAAAAAATTGTCCGTGGGGTGGCACACCTCTGTAGGGGGGCATTGCCCCCAAATGCCCCCTGTGGCTACGGGCCTGCCTCTGGTACTGGAGGAACTAGACATACATCGTGACTAGTGGCCATTGATTAGCCCTGTCTTCCATGAATTTGTCCACTCCCCTTTTAAGGCCATCCAAGTTGGCATCCAGCACCACATCCTGTGGCAGTGAATCCCCCAGTTTAACTATGCACTGTGTAAAGCAGTACATCCTTTTGTCTCTCCTGAATCTTCAGTGGAGGCTAGTGAGAGTATAATATTGAAGAGATCCCGAGGAAGAGAATGTGGATTTCATCCATAAACAGTCTCTCCTCAGCAATCACTGAGCCTGCCAAAATCAGGCAAGATGTGGGGAGAAGCAGTGGGTGAGTTGTTGGTGCCATCTCAGTTTACAGTGACAAGTTTTCTGACTTCCTCTCTGTGGGTGGCAAGCATTGGCCTTGATGGGAACAGAATGTGAAATGGTTTCTTGAGGAGAAGGGCAAAACTGGATACCAACTGCCCCCCCCCTTTTAGCAGAATCCCTCACGCATCCCTGTCATCACTCAAATGTCACTCCCACAAAGTGGTGCTTCTAAAATTAGGCATCAGGTCTGTATTTCGGGAACTAAACTGGCATTCTGATTTTTCATAAAACTTGGAAGAAGCTAAAGCTTGCCTAGCCAGCCATCACAGGGACGTTGTCCAAACATGAATTTGATATGGCCTGAGGGGGCTGGGAAGGGACCCCAAGCCCTCCCCACTAAAGAGAAGCCCTGCTGAAAGAGCAGAGGCCCATCTAGTCAAGCATTCTTTTGGCAGCAGTGACACACACACACACACCCCATGCTAACAGGCAGGTTTCCACTGTGGACTGTCAAGCAGCAATGGGTATGAACTTGGAGGTTCCATTCAGCTATTTAGCAGCTAATGGCTGCTGATACACCCTACCCTCCATTAATTTGTCTAGTCTCTTTCCCCCCCAAAGCTGTACAAACTAGTGACCACCACCTTCCACATAATTCATAGAATCATAGAATCATAGAACTGGAAGGGGCCAGACAGGCCATCTAGTCCAACCCTCCCTGCTTAATGCAGGATCAGCCTAGAGCATCCCTGACGTTGGTCCAGCCACTGCTCAAAGAGCTCACCACCTCCATAGGCTGATGCACAACTCTTACTGTAAAAACGTTTTTCCTAATATCCAGCCGGTACCTTTCCGCCCTTCATTTAAATCCATTATTGTGAGTCCTATAACCTCTGCTGCCAGCAGAAACAGCTCCCTGCCCTCCTCTAAGTGACAGCCCTTCTTCAAATGCTTCAAGAGAGCAATCATGTCCCCCCTCAACCTCCTCCTCTCCTGACTGAACATTCCCAAGACCCTCGGCCTTTCCTCGTAGGGCTTCTTGGTTTCCAGGCCCCTCCCCCATCATCCTCCTCGCTCTCCTCTGCACCCGCTCCATTCCGTCCACATCCTTTTTGAAGTGAGGCCTCCAGAACTGCACACAAGACTCCAGGTGCGGCCTGACCAGTGCTGTGTACAGCGGGACTATGAGTCATGACATCTTGCAGTTTGGATGTAATGCCTCTGTTGATACACCCCAAGATCACATTAGCCTTTTTGGTCACCGCATCACACTGGCTGCTCATATTTAACATACATTCCATCCATACCCCAAAATCTTGTTCACGCACACGGCTACCCAGAAGTGTATCCCCCCATCCAGTATGCATGTTCGTCTATTTTTTTTTTTACCCAGATGTAGAACTTGGCACTTATCCTTGTTAAATTGCATCTTGTTCATATCCGCCCACTTTCCCAGTGTGTTCCTTGCACCTTCTCTGTTGCCGACAAAAATTGATTTTGTCTTACCCTGTTTTCGCTCCAGCCCCCTTCCCTCTGGGCTACATCAAACGAAAGACTAAGGGCGATTTCTCACTAGAGCTGCCTCGCAGCCGCCGTTTGCCTCGACACAAACATGTCAATTTCACACCCGAGGCTGCGGGGCTGCATTTGACCCGCGGCTTCGCCCGATTTTCTCTGCAGTTTCGTGATCCTCAAAAACCAGGATCATGAAACTGCGGAGGAAATCGGGCGAAGCTGCAAGTCAAAATGCAGCCCCGCAGCTTCGGGTGTGAAATTGACATGTTTGTGTCGAGGCAAATGGCGGCTGCACTGCGAGGCAGCTCTAGTGAGAAAACGCCCTAAGGTTCAGTGGTATTTCAGTGAGGAAACAAGCATAAGAAAGCAGCTTTCCCTAACAAGGGGCCAGCCATGTTGATACTGGTGGAAGAGGGTCAATATTTATTTAAACTTTCAGAGTTTTATACAAATGGTCCTGTAAAGTAATCTAGTATCATTTGGAGCAGAGCTACGCCCAGACCCGGACGGCCCAGGCTAGCCGGATTTCATCAGATCTCCCAAGTGAAGCAGGATTGGCCCCGGTTGGTGCTTGGATGGGGGACCACGGAGGAAGACCAGGGCTGCTATGCAGAGAGGCAGGCTGTTTGCCCCGTGCCTTGAAAACGTTATAGGGTCGGCATAAGTCCCTTGCCGCTTGACGGCACTTTCACCACGGTCACCAGGGCTGAGCTAAAGGGAGGGGACCGGGAGAAGCCTTTCAAGAAAAAAACTTCAGCAGAATCTGGAGACGACCCTCTTGAGGGTGAAGTCAGTGGGTTTCGGGAGGCTTGCACTGTTGGTCTCTTAGCCACTATGATACACCAGCAGGCGTGAACGGTAGTTCTATGGGGTGGGGGGCATTATATAACCTATGGAGGTATAAATAAATGTAGAATTTTTACTCGGCAT